TGGACCGATTATGTGAGAAATGAAGAGATGTTATTTAGAGTAAGTGAGCAGAGGAATATCCTACAGGAAATACGAAAACGGAAGGCTAATTGGATTGGTCATATCTTACACAGTAACTGCCTTCTAAAAGAAGTTATTGAAGGAAAGATAGAGGGGCGGATAGAAGTGACCAGAAGACGAGGAAGAAGACGTAAGAAGATGCTGGCTGACCTTGGGGACAGAAGAGGATATTCTCATTTGAAGGAGAAAGCTCTAAGTCGCATTAAGTGGAGGAACTGTTTTGGAAGAGACTGTGGACCTGTCGTCTTGACAGATTACTGATGAATGAATGAATATATGCATGTTTAGTGTATAAACCTTCTATGTATGACTACCACTGCATACAATCAATTCTAGAAACCAGTTAGGTTATGTCACGTGGAATGTCTCAGGAAACATTTTTGGCTACTTTGAGTACTGCAACCAAACAGGTATATGGTTTATGTCCAGGCTTGTTACCATAAGGTAACAATGAACTACACCTCATTTTGTCTACTTCATTTTGGGTACTCTTTGCAAAATCCCCTTACGGTGATAGCTCAGCTTAAGTTCTACAGAAAACCACTGCTGTTTACTCCTACAATGCCTCGTCTCTTTCATGTTTTCATCATCCTTAGATTCTCACCATTCTAGGAGAAGCAAGTGGCTCACTTCAGATCCCTAAGGATTAAGGCTGATCCTCTCCTCACTCAGTATCCACAGTGAATAAGAAAGCAACCATGGATGAAAACAATGGTAAAATATATCTCATTACTGATGGCCAATATTATCTTCAAGACACTCAAAGGAACACTATGAATTAGCATCCGTGATGCTATCCTCTCTTGGTTTGGGTTTCAAGCAAAGTGAATACACCTACACATGGCTGTGTTAAAAACATTTCCTGTTTTTGAATGAATCACTTATCTGGACATCATTATTCAGTATAAAATTTACATGCATATACCTACAAATCAAGGTGTTACAAGAAACATCAGCTTGACCAGTGAAGTATGATATAAACAGGGATTATTATGAAATAAACACCAGGCATAATATGGAGATTCATATGAACCCGGTAAACTTTATGAAATATGGCAATTGAGTATTTCNTATTTTATATATTATATTTTTCAAAAACTAGTATACAAATATAATATATTTAGTAGAATGTATATGATGAATTCATTTTATATCAAAGCACACTTATTTTTAAGAAAATTTCTGAAATTAGAATAGACATTTTTGTTTACTTCATCTTGAAATAGGAAATACTTACATCTTACTCAGCAAGAAGAGTAAGGAGAAAATATGACTCAACAGTTTTGCAAAAAAGATGACGGAATCTCAGTGAGTGCAAAATCTGGAACCACTGTAAACAGACCTTCACTTCCTGTCAGAATGCCTCTATATGATAAAGTGAATTTAATTCAAACAAAAGTTCATATATGTGCGTGCAGCATAGAGTGTGTTCATATGTATACGTATTCGACGTCAACTGTAAAAACAGTGTGGCACATAGATCCGTTAATAGGCAACAACCATGAAACAAAGAACAAGACAACAGTCATTAGTATGCAACAGCTTCATAAACATGCAGCAGTACTGGAGCCCTTGCTTGGCAACGGCCCATGTGCAAGAGTGGAAGTACTGTTTCCTCTGTCATCCACTCTGAGGCTACGTCACTCAACCAACTAAGCTGCAGTGCAATTGGGTACAGTGGAGTGAAGTGGGCTGGTTGGTGAACAGTCAGTCAGTTAGAGGACTTCTGCAGTTCAGGCCTTGTGAGCTGTTGCTGTTGGAAGCTGGTAGCTGAGACACGGGGATAGTTCAAGAACCCAGAGTACGGGGAACGTCCGCTGCTGCAAGCTACTACCAGGCAATGATAGGTGAAGACACAGCAGACTGAGACGACTTAGTGCATGCTGTGTTCTATACTGAACTGTACTGTATGTGAATTAGTGATAGCGCTATAGTTACTTGTAGTTACGATCTGTAAGTGTTCGATAAATCCATTACCAATTCAAACCTATCTGTATTCACTTGATTATGTGACAATAGTTTCTACGTTTATTTCTGTGGCAAAACACATGAAATTACTGCAAGTACTGTTATTATTTTTACAAATCTCTAAAACCCTCTAAAATTGTGGGAATAGTTTTTCTTTTCTTAAAATTATAACAAAATAAGAATAACGTTTTGAATACCATTTAAACCCAACAGAAAGGTGACTCTGAACATTCAAAGGCCCCAGTGCTCAAAGTGTCAATGTCTCTCCTTTGCAATAAACACCAAAGTTCTCAAAGAAGAAATATTACATTATGTTACCATCAGACACTACACTCCAGAACTCAGAGATCACAAACATGTTCATAAAACTATTAACTGACAGATTGAGAGATTTCAGTCATAAATAAGACACTGCAATTAAGAAACCCTATTCACAGTATCTGGGCAACAACTCAATACTTTAATTAACAGTAAAAATTTAAAGTTAGAATTTGTGATCTCCAACAAAAATAAGGATCAAATTTATGTATCACAGAATTATGTTATGTTCCTTCACAATTAATCATGGCATCACAATTCCTTTTTGAAGATGTGGAGAAGCATATGCACACAGAAATAACAAATCTACTTGTACATGTGAATTCATTTCATAGGAGATTCAAAATTATTAAAATATTAAAAAGTCAACACAAACTTTTCACAACAAATGTACCTTTTTTATTTCTAATCCTCAATACAAATCTGATCATTAAAGTCAATCTCTATATTAAAAAATTATTATTTCTTTAAATTCAGGAAATCTAAAAGAATAGGTTGCATTTCTTTATGAAGCACTACTAAACACAGACTAATAACTACAATAAATTTATCTACGAACAACTTTTGAATAAAATTAAAGGAAAAGAGAAATGACTGCTAGACCCACATAACTGATTTATTGTTATATCACTGTATGTCAGCTGCCACTAGTCTAAGCAATTAAAAAAACACCTGGTCTGCACATGAAGCAACATAATTCAACTATCAGTCATCATACTATTAATTAATATCCAAGTATCAACTTTCATTTAAAATTGTTTTGCAATCAGACATTCCAGAGAACAATTTTATACAGACTCCAATCTTGCAAATGCTTACGCCTATCACTGATTTCTGCTACTTGGAATGGCAGCACAATATAATTTCACTTGTCAGTCAAGTACTTATTCACAAAACCTTTATTTACTTAAAAGTATTGACAGAGCTGCAGAATTTTAGAACACAGGAGGCCTCTACCTTGAGCTAGTTTAGGGAATAAGTAAGAATTTTCTATTCAGCAAGTGCACGACACAATGGGCAAGATGGTGATCCCTGAAATGAAATACATTATTTATCAACTTTATAAGATACAAATTAATTTCAAAATTACAATTTATTGGCCTTCTGTAAGTAATTAACAACTGCACATATCACTTGTTGTTGCTTTACGAACTACCTCAATTCTACATGATTCTTTTTATTTTCACACTTTGTTATATCTGACCTTCTCAATACCCACTCTTGTTGTTACAATACTGACCACTGTCTTGCATTCCCTTCAAATCTGTACTCACACAATAATTCCATTAAATATGAATTCTGAATTACTGTAATTAATTGTTACTGGGTTGAAAGGCAGAGTTCGAAATGTGGTGTTGGAGAAGAATGGAGAAGATCAGTTGGACCGATTATGTGAGAAATGAAGAAGTGTTAATTAGAGTCAGTGAGCAGAGGAATATCCTACATGAAATAAGAAAACGGAAGGCTAATTGGATTGGTCATGTTTTACGCAGAAACTGCCTTCTAAAAGAAGCTATCGAAGGAAAGATAGATGGGCGGATAGAAGTGACAAGAAGACGAGGAAGAAGACGTAAGAAGATGCTGGATGACCTTGGGGACAGAAGAGGATACTGTCATTTGAAGGAGAAAGCTCTAGATCGCATTAAGTGGAGGAATTGTTTTGAAAGAGACTGTGGACCTGTCGTCTTGACAGATTACTGATGATGATGATGATGATGATGGGTTGACTGCCTCTGTGGTCTAGTGGTCAGAGTTCCTGGCTGCATATCCAGAGGTCCCCAGTTCGATACCAGGCGCTACCAGATTTTCTGAGAAGTAGTGGGTCTGGAACAGGGACCACTCAGCCTCATGAGGATAACTGAGGAGCTACTTCAAGGAAAGAGCGGCTTTGGTCTAGAAAACCAAGATTAATGGCCGTGGGAATTCATTGCACCGACCACATAATACCCTCTACCCGCAAAAGTTGGCACTAACTTCGCCAACAAGTGGCGGTCGCTCTGTCGGTATAGTTCGCTTGTGGACTACAGGCCATGGAGTTTGTTTTGTTTTTGTTTTCTTTATTGTTACTGGGTTGGGGGCAGGACACCTCAGTCCATACAGCAATAGGCTATGAGCTGGATGGCTGACATTTAGTTCCTGGTAGGGACAAGAGACTTTTCTCTTCTCTACAGCATCCACACTGGCTCTGGAGCCCACCAAGCCTCCTATCCAGTGGGTACCATGGACTCTTATCTCTCCTGGGGACGAAGTGGTTGAGTCATGAAGCTCATCACTCACCTCCATCTAGTGCTGAGATTAAGAATGGTGGAGCTATACCTTTATAGCCCCCTATACCTTCATGGCATGATGCTGAATTTCATAAGCCTAGGGACAACTATCGGTGTCCAACCATCACTCTTTGATACTTATATCCACTGAGTACCAATTTATGTTCAGCCCCTTGAAAATAACTGTGCTTCTCTTGAGGACACCAGTCCTTAGGAAGTAATATGAATTCCTTTGATTGACTCTAACCTCCGTCACATTATCAGTCATATCAGAATTTTACCTGTGAAAATGGCTACCCACTAATCTGACACAAAACTGATGTCCAAAACCTTACAGGTCTGTGTGGTGGGAATTTCTTAAAAGTGGTGTTGACAGCCCTCCACTTAACTCTACTACTAAAATACATAAAATAAGGTGTCTTTGTTATCAGCTATAAACCTGAGAGGCCCATATTCACATTACCATGATATAACTTCGGTTTATAAGGTTAACCTTTTCAGTCTACAGGCAGTAACAAAGAGCCTGAAATGTTTATGTACAAACTACAGACATAATAAATTCCATCTTATCATGAAACACCAAATATTACACATGCCATTATTATCCTTTTCTTTAAGTAGTAATGTGTCCAAAAACAGACTATATTTGTTGGATTTATTGGCAGAATACAGTGTCAATACATTTATAATGACAGTGGATGACACAATTAAATTTACAATCATTGTGTACTGCATGAACTTTCAAATGGCTATTTCTGCAGAGAAATGTCAGTGCACACAACAAATGAAATGATTTAATTATAAAATATGGGCATGAGAATTATTCAAGTAACTGCACTTCGATACATAATGCAATCTATAAAAGGATGATAAAGAAATATACATTCTTTAAAATTTTGAATTGTAAAGTATGTCATATCGCTAATTATATAAGAATCAGTTTGATAAAACATTCCACATTCATAACAGACATTTTGTTATTAGATTATTCTATGCATTCAACTCCCACAAGCTTCATTATAGCAGACAGTTCCTCATGGAGAATTAGAGAGATTAGGAAGTGAGTTACAACACTCACACCAGAAAAGGCCTTGCCTATGTACCTTCAATTCATTACAAAGGAAATATAATGCAGAATTCCCACTGAAACTGAAAATTCATGACCCCCACAGAATGAAAGCAGAATGTCAATTGTCAAATTTTAGAATTACATATAAATGACAATTTATATTTACCAGCTATAAAGCACACTTATTTCCAAGCTATTTTGTTTAGTTAACTGTAAATGAAGCAACATAATATTTACCTTTACGCTGAACCACTTACTGATACAGTGGGAATGAAATCTGTGTTTACATGGCAACTGCTTGATGTTATACCCTTCAAGGCAAATCATACAGTGAGTCTCCTCTGCCTGCGTAGATAATTTACGTTTGGGCTTGGTGTTTCTGCTCCTACCACAAACAGTATAAACTTTGGTTCTTAACGCCTTTTACATAAAACGAAACTGGAGACTATAGAGTGGAAAGGGATTTCAGAAATGGGAAGTAACATACAGACCCACCCACACACAGAAAAATAAGCAGTCTAGTGTCAATTCTGATAAAAATGAAAGTCATATTAATGACTTATTAGGTATTTCAAGCTGAGGCTGAAATCAATAACTCGTGATTATTATAATAATGCTGGGGTTATCAGAGATAATGCCAAAATACTGGCATTTGTTCTGAGATTTCATATGTCAGCCTGTGAACAGTACTTAATCTATATTGGGACTTAACCTTACATTAAACTTCCATTTTCATACAATACATATACCTAAACAAAACAAACTCTGTATCTGCTAATTCAGCAGTGCTTATTTCATAATGCCTATATGTCTGCAGTTACATATTACAGAAAACTAAAACCATAACAAAAAATTAAAATTCTTACACTCATCAAGTAAATTGACTTCTACAAGGGGTTGCCCGCTCCAATAGCTTTGGGCGGGCCATTTTATTTCCTGATGTTTTTCGTAGTTTTTCCCAGTACATCCAGGTAAATGCTGGGGTAACCTCTCAAATTTGACCAAGTCGATTTCATTCGTATAATTTTCAATTCACTCTTCATTTAGTCATCCTAATTACTCGATTCCATATAGTCTGAGATAATGTTAACTTTCTTAAATAAATAATTATATAAAATTCTTACCCCTCATGCCACGACTTGCTGTTAGGTCCATGGTCAAACGGTGGTGGTTGGCCATTATTTCTACTATTACTATGGGCAGATTCTCGTCCCGTCTGAGTTAAGAAATAATATATAGCTGTGGCAAGACCAACACCCAGTATAACTGCAAACCCTAGACCCTCATAAGGCATTTTCTTTTCACCCAAATTAATCACAAATTCTAACAAACAAAATAAACTACTAGCCACGCCACAAACCAACACGGATAAATAAATAAGACCTGACAACGACAGAAAATTAGACCGCGATGAACCAGGCCACGGATTATGTACATGGTTTCATACTCCCTGCTGGTAGGGTTCTGAAATTAACACATTTGTCAACGAAAATATTTCTAACTAAAATTTATATTGTTGGTATGTTTATATAAAATTATCATTGATATTGGTTTATGGCCACTTCTGAAGGATCATTTTGGATTGAACACCGTTGAGCACAATGTGTACTATTAATTTTTTTTATTGCTAGTGGGGTGGGACTAAGTCCCTTGTACTGCGACCACTTCTGGCCTACTGTACCAGCCCCAGATGATAGGTGTGGGTGCTTGTGGAGCAATTGGTAGAATGAAGATTTACAAGGGAAACCGAAGTACTCGGAAATAACCTGCCCCAGCGCCACTTTGTCCACCACAAATCCCACTTGACTAGACCCGGGATCGAACTCGAGCCGCATCGGTGAGATGCCAACAACTAACCACTCGAGCTTTGGCGCGGCCGTATTATTAATTTAGAGTGTAATGTTAATGGGATTATCAAGATATCCTGAATTTTCCCACAATTTCGACTATTTCGATATTACTCGATTATTCAGTAAGCTGTCCCCAAACCGAACGTCAAGAGATCGATTCCTCTGTGGAAGAAACGATTGGAAAGTACTATTTATTATACATAGGAATACGCAGTGGTGAATATCTGACCAGTTGCTTCTTTAGTAGAATGAAAACGATTTACCTTAGGGCTAACTAGTTTGCTATGTGAAAGAATTTCTGAAACGGAATATTCATTTTCAGTTCGAGTTTGCTGAATTAATCCAACACCATCCCATAAAGACGTATGCGGAAGTGAAGGTATAGCGCCACTATTCTGAACCTCGGCACTACATGACGGCGAGTTGTTAGCTGCACGCCCCTGTCGCTTTCCTGCCGTAAAATAGTCCTCGAAATCCAATGGATAGGAGGCTGGGTAGGCCCGAAACGCGCCCTGGAAGCTGTGGAGTAGTGAAGAATCTCTTGTCCATGCCGAGAATGGAACCCTGGCTGTCCAGGAAGGATTGGGACAATGTGGAGAAGAAAATTCCTTTGCCCCTGCGGGGAATCGAACCCAAGTTCCTCAGCTGTCCACCTCATAGCCCGTCGATGTACCCACCGAGCTATCCCACTAATGGCCTTCATTTAATTACAAAATAATTTTCATGTGCATGTATCGTGTTACATACTTACTCATGGAACTGAGCCCTTCTGGAGGAGCCGCCAATTCTGCAGCTACTCAAGAATTACCCAGCATTTTGTAGAACCCAAAGGTTCACAAGAGCCCTCCACTGGTCTCTATCCTGAGCCAGATCAATCCAATCAATACCATCCCATCCTATCTCTCTAAGATCCATTTTAATATTGTCCACCCACCTATGCCTTGGTCTTCCCAGTGGTCTCTTTCCTTTTGGCTTTCCCACCAATATCCTATACGCATTCCTCGTCTCCCCCATTCATGCTACATGACCTACCCACCTCATCCTCCTTCACTTGATCATTCTAATTATACTTGGAGAAGAGTACAAGTTATGAAGCTCCTCATTATGCAGTTTTCTCCAGCCTCCTGTCACTTCATCTCTCTTAGGGTCCAAATAT